TTGATTATAGGACATTAAAATAAATACTGCACCTTGGCCCCAATCTTAAGGTATGCTCTATGACTAAGATTACACACACACACACACACACTCACACACACACACACACACACACACTGACACTCTCTATTTTGTAAATAACTTTTTCCTTTTGTTTTTTCTTGTATAGAAAGAGGCTGCCACACATGGCAACCGCTGTGCCACCTAATCCAACACCAACAGAAATGTATTTGCACTGGAACAGGAAACATAAATAGTTCCTCCTATTTATTAGCATTCTTGCTTACTAGACCTGCAGTACAATCTAGACTTTGGCAGTTGCTTAGCTCTTCAATCACCTGTTGAACCACAGCCCAATCTGACCCACCCATGAGGATTATGCAATGACAGGTTATTATTGCTTAAAGCTCAGGTATTGAACTTGTCTCCTACATTTTTCAGATTTCTCACCTCACCCCTCCCTTCTAAAGAAAATAGCTACTGGTTCAAGAGAAGAAGTCCAAACAAAAACCTCTGTGTAGTTTAATTTTAGTTTAAACTAGACTGGGCTCAAATCTAGTTTAATATGCATAGTCTGATGAAAACCTTGGATGGAGATTTGGGGACTTAGTTTTCAAAAGTACAGATTAAAACTGTATCAGTTTTCCATGCTTTCATTATGGTTGAAACTCCAAATGCACATCATTAACATTCATGCCCTGACAAAATAGTAGATAAAAATTTTTCAAAGTCTCTCTCCTACTGTTTATAAATATCAAGGTGTTGCACCCAAAGACCTTTATCACTTAATCATTGTTGAAATGCAGCCCCCTCGATAGCAGACCATGAAAGCCATTGCACACCAATGCTATACAACTTACTTTTAGGGAAAGGAAGTAAAAATGTTTACTCCTATAGCCAGAGGAATCCAAGTAAGAGAATATAACAAATTTTATCCATAATAAGGCTACAAGAGATCATGCAATATGATCTACACTGATCAGTGATGTATACCAACCACAATACATACAGGGTGGTCCAATTGTGCAGTTGTTGATTGTTTTCTTGATGAAATAGGTTTCCTGACAGACTTCACAGTAGAAGATTCCCAGTACTGTAAAGGCTTGTCATTACAAATGTACTCAATCTTACTGGGAACACGCAAAACATGTTTTAGGGAAGTTTCCTAGCAGCCAAAGTTTCCTAGCAGCCTCAGCTAATTATCCAATTCTGCATCTATCAGAAACAGGAGTCATTATTATACAGATTCCATTATAAAACAAAGCCTCAGAACGATGCGTGCTATTTTTTTTTAAAACAAAAAAAGTTTACATCTTTAAAATTCAGAGATCTTTCTAAGCAGGACACTGCTCTGTGATAACAAGGTTGTCAGACCTCCACATTTAGCTTACATTATAGTTCACTTATCCAAAGATTTTTTTAAACCTTATTTATTGATTTTGTACTATGACTGTGTGCTTCACCTTTGTGCTACTATTACTTAAAATTAGGAGCTTATTATAAAGAAGTTGATATGTGAACCTCAATCCCAGAAACGTATTTAACCAGTATTTTTATGGAATAGAAAAAATATTTCTACTGACTGGGCAGATTTCTTTAACGAATATATATGCATAAAGGCTCTGAGGGGATTTTTTTTCTTTAAAAAAAGATGATTAACAACCATAGTGGACTGTACAATTTTCCAGCTATTTCAATCTTGAAATCTGATTGTAAGCCTTTGAAGTCCTATGTTTGACCTTTCAAATGTTCTCACAGGCAAAATGCCTTTTCCAGTTGGAAAATTAATTGAGTATGTGTCATGCTATATCAAAGCAATTTTGATCTCTCTCACAGCGGCAATGTGTTTTACAGTAGAGGTTTTGTGACCATTGTTTAGAACTCCATGGGAGTGCTTTGTTTGTTCCAAACGAAGTTGAATATGCCTGCCTGCGATTTATGTTAACATAGAGGCAACAAAAATACAAATTCTTCAGAGTGGTTATACCAGAAAACTGCTCTCAAGTCCTCTCATATAAACCTAGCAGTTCCAGTTTAACACAGGACAGATCCTCCCTCTATCTATTAATTTACTTTTAAAAAAGGATGCCCTGGATCCTTTGCCTCAGGCAGCTCTAGATAATGCCATGAGGGGAGGGCACAGGTTTTCAATCATGATGACAGGTACCTGAGCTGAGGTAAAATAAAACAAAAGAGGGGAACCTGCCCGCAAGGACGTCATTTAGCTTCAAAGTAAGCCTTACCTTGCATGCTGGGAAATCTTTGGCATGATACATTAATATACAGAATAGTAAAGTGACCTGGTTGAACACTCCTTGTCTATAATAACACACCATTTACTTAAAATTTCTTTCCGTTATTTTCCTTCATATTCTAAAAGGTAGGGGTGGGAGACAAAAATGAAGGAACTGGGATTCAGTCCCCAAATTCTGCATAATCTTGAGGATCCTCAAAATGCAGAGGATTTACAATTAATGAGGCATGTTCTGGCCTCAATTACATCCAGTGAAGACAAAAAGTGTTAACAACAAAAGGTAATGGATGGCAAAGTTTGCCTACAGAAACATTATCAGCAGAGAAGTTGCATAAGCCAGAAAAAATAAAGCCTACAAAGAAATGGCAGTGCTGTATTTATGGGGAAAACACCTTTTTTTGTTAAATGAGCAATGTTAATTAGGGATGTGTTTCAATTAAAAAATGGTGAAGATGGGTTCCTTGTTTAGAAACAGAAGTACAGTTTAAAAACACAAAGTGGGATTTCATCTACAGAGAAACATATGGTTCCAATGCAGCCTCTATTATGAGAGCAAAGCAAATACAAGTTAATTAAGTTTTTAGCATTCAAGTAAATTTTTAATTTCAAATTTATACTTCTAACTTCATACGTCTTCATTAAAGTGAATGGGGAGGGAGAAGTGTGTGTGTTCTGAAGTTTTCCTGAGACTGAAATCCAACCCCCACCCCACCAAAGATATGGTGGGGGTCTTAGTAATTTGCACAGCATAGTGCAGCAGCACACAATGCAACTCCCCCAACACCAAGTCAAAGCCCCATGGTCTGTTTACCCAGGTAAGAATTCACTCATGTGACAAATGAACTTTGTAAAAACATCAGAACAATGTTAACAGTGACATTTGCTGACAACCATCTGAAAAGTATTTAGATTTACACTGTCACAACATTGGTGTTGAAGATTCAAAGTGTTAACAAGAAATTCTACTGGCCCGTATGACCAAAAAGAATATTTTCTGAAGCACAGCTTACATTTTACAGCAAAAGAGAAACAAGTTTTGTATTAATTTTGCACTTTGCCTTAAGTAAAGAATGTGTATAGCAAAATACATTTCTTCTTATTCAACATAAGATTTTAAAATGCATTATATTTTTACAACTAGTACCAGAGTTTGGTTTAGTTTTGTTTTTGAACACACTCTTCCCAGTTTAAGTCACTCTAACTTTCCAACTTTTAAACAGTATAAATAGGCAGATCAGCCATGTAACACCAACTAGTCAAAAAATTAGTCTAACTATTGTTCCATCAGCAGCCCACAGGGCTAATATTTTGCCAGTATTTCAGCAAAAGATTTCCTTTTAAACAAAAAAAAGTACAACACAAGTTTAAGGCATGTTATGTTTAAAAAAAAGTTCAAACACTGATCAAAAACAGATGCTGGAACTAATGTCATTCTTCTGAACAGGCCAGTGCCTTGCTTGTATTCCATCACCATTTTCAATTCATGCAGTGAAATCATCCAAGGCTATATTCATCATTAACAATTTTGGCACTGCTAGCTGTACTATATCCTGCTGCAGCAACAGAACAAGTTGTATAAAGCCTGGCACCTATGAGTTAAATCCATGAATGAAGAATTAAGATTTAAGAAAGGCCTACCCACTCTGTACTCAGATCACATTACTAATCCTAATTAACATAAAACAGATTTTTTTTGTTGAAAAAATAAATAAAAGCATTGTAATTGGTATAACATACTTCAACAGCTAGAAGTTAGACACTGTATGCATCTGTATAGTACCTGGAAAGTTTAAAAGCAGGTGGTTTGCAAATACATTTGCAGATTTTTTTTTTAATCATGTTCTGTATTACAGCACATTATGGCAATATTTTAAAAGCTGCTTCTGCCCCAGTATACTAAGATATTGTATTCAACAACACCTTGTATGGTACTGTATCCATCTGTAACATGAAACAGTTACAGCATTAACATAGGTGCATATTAACCTTTGGAGGAAAGTCACCATAAGCTGCAGGCTGATTTTCAATGGCCCAAAAAAATTCACTATAAATCAAAGCTTCTCCTGTTCACAAGAGGAACCTCACCCCTTTCCTCACCTGAATCACAAAACTTTACATGAGAAAACTGCTTTTCCCTTCTTTGAATTTTAAAAACAGGAAAACAGATTTCTTTTATATTTTGAACTCTTACACAAACTATATACGCTGTATCATGGCAAAGTGCATGTTTGATCAGTTGAACCCTTCTTGGAAGAAAGTTTACAAAGGAAACACTGCCAAACAACTAAAAATATACAAAAAGTGGCATTTGTAACAGTAATCTTAACAGTTTGAAAGCCAACAACATGGAATGTACCATAGAGCTGAGATATCAGTTACTTCCCTGTTTAGATTAGTTTACTGCTTTTGGATGGGGAATTTCTCTTAGGAATTAGTATTCTCTGTATAAGTTACAAAAGCTACAAAAAGAAAGCCATAAAAATAAAATGGTAGAAATCCACATTCTCTTTTAAGGTTCAAGTAAAGACATCTTCATAGCGCAACTTTTAAACAATTGCATACTGCTCATATAAAAGGTCTCTTATTCTATAGAAGTCCTGGCAGAGACAGCCTTCCAATCCAATGCGCCCAGTTTCAGTCTGAAACAAAAAGCAGGTTTCAATCTATTATCTTTATCCTGACAAAGTGAAGAAGATGCTTAGCATTCTACTAGCATAAAAGGCATTGGTGATAATCCAAATGGTGTTAAGAAAAATAGATGCTTACCCTGCGAACAGCCACTAGGTTGTTGCATACAAGAACACCGCCGACAAATTCAGCTTGAATTCCTTCTCGCAGAAGAACTTGCTTGAAGTCTGACAGCCTTGGCTCATTCATGAACACAGACTGATGTCCGAGAACCTTTAAATCCAGTGCAAAGAAGAGCTGTATTTAAGATGTTACTAAAGATATACATTTAATAAACATTTTCAAATCAGATAGAAGACATTAAAATAACTCAATTACTTCCCAATTGCTAGGTGCAATCATTTTGGAAGACATCCTGACTAACCTCTCCAGACCTATATTAGCAGCATGGACTAGAGCGAGCTACTAGGAAATGAGATGCTATGGTTGCCTTCCAGTCACTTAAGGCAAGAACCTCACGTCTTCAATGCTGGACAAAAGACCCTTATAGACTATGCACTTAGGCAAAGATTTATCTTCCCCAGTAGGCAGCCTTTTGGCCATCCTCCAAGGACCACCCTGTAGACCTCCATATAGGCATCACACCAGGCCACAGAAGCAACATTACGGTCCATAGCAGAGCCTGCACGGCTGTCAAATCTTAGCCCTGGTCACCAGTCAGAGTCAAGGCTTGTCAAGGTTCTGAGCAGTCCAGGTTCAGAAGTGTACAAGGATGCCTCAAAGCAGTGGTTCTCAACCTTTTTAGACTTGAGGCACCCCTCGGTAGCCCTGAGGCACCCCTCAAAAATGCCACCTCTTAGTTTTCACTCTTTTTTGACTACAGAAAAATAGACCAATTCTTTGTTGCAAGACCATAAACAGATAGAATGTTTTAATGCTATGGATGAAAGTGCTGGATTCATCTTTTTAATCATTTTTGGACACAATACTGTTAATACAGTGTGGCACCTTGTAGCACTCCTGAAAAATCAAGGCACCCCCCCAAAGTACCTTGGTTTTAAAGCATCTTGGTTGAGAAACACTGCTTTAAAGCCACCATAACTCTCATTCCAGCTTGGATGAGAGCTCTAGCCTGTATGTCTGGGACTGCCAGTGCAAGATCTCAATCTCTAAGTCTCAATTCTCTTCATGTGTTAGATGGGAGACTGATATTTATGCAAAATGTCTGGTGTGCAGAGATAAGAGTACTGGGATAAGTACACTGCAAACCTCTGCTAGTCACACACATACATGCCTATAAAATCTCTCTAAAAAAGACATATCTACCACTGACAAACATGCAAGGAAAAGTATTTTGCACAGCACCAGATGTGTGAGAATAAATCCAAGGAGCAATTTTAAACAAGCCAAATGCTTTCAGAAGCCATTTATGGTGAGTGCACAGGTCATAAGAGATTTATCACCAGGATCATTTAAAAGCTGTGTCTGAAGCCAAGGTATGGTACATTATACATATAGGCAGTCCTTGACTTACAGATGTTTTGCACTTGCAACATTTATAAATTGACACCGTTTCAACTTTATAACACTTGACCCGATGCAACGCCACACTCATCTCCCTGGAGAACATCTGTCCAAACTTCCTTGGGCACTTTCTTTAAAAAAGAAAAAACGAGACTCCAGAAAAACCTGCAGCCAAGACTCCTGAGAAGACTCCAGCCAAGAACCCTTCAAAAAGTCCAACCAAAAGCCTTTCAAAAAGTCCAGCAAAGTCACCTCAAAAAAGTCCTTCCAAATCAATAAATTGCTATTTACAATATAAATGCATTAATGTAGCTATATTACTCATCTATAATTGATACAGTACAAAACCCTGGGGTATTTTTGGTGAAAACAGGGTATTCAGCCTTGGTTCAGGAATCAATCTCCCATTTACAACAATATTTCTTATGAGAAAATTGGTTCCAAGTTACAACGTTTCGACTTAAGATGTGTTTTTCACGAACCAATTGTGTCATAAGTCCAAGGACTGCCTGTAGTTAGATACTGTCCCTACTATGAAGAGTTTGCAACCTTAACAGAGAAACAACTTCCTAGCCCCATACATGATTTAATGCAGTTAAACACACTTACAACTCAAATAAAGCCCTTGGTTCAAAAGACTTACCTGAAAAACTTCTGCAATATATTCAATGTGCTGGAAAAATATACTGGCAATTACCACCACAACTATAGCATTCAAATACTAGAGATCTTATAGATAAAAGAAGGCAAAAAACTTCTCTACCTCATGTGGGGGCAGTGGTTCCAGTGTAGGAATGATCTCGCTCTCCTCACACATTTCTTTATCATCATCACCAAACAAACTCTTCATGGCTTTTTGCTGTGCAATAACACTGGAGTCCGAAGAAGGCACATCCACTTGCATTTCCATGTCTTCATCTTCCCTCAGCTCTCCTTCTTCCAAAATGACCCCCGTGTCCACTTTTGAAACTCGCATGTCCAGAACGCCATCTATCCAAGCCAGTTCAGCATCTTTAGCTTTACAGAACTGAAGGGAACTGACTAGAGAATCCTTTAGCCTGACCTAATGTGCACACAAATAAAAACAGTATTGACTGAATGACATAAGCAATTCTGGCAGAAAGCACATTTTGCAGGGTTAACATGCATCTGTAAAGACTAGCCATTTCCCCTTTCATTGACGCATCACGTTATTTAGACCCAACCTGCTCCTTGGACAGAAAGGGAGGCAGAACCATAAGTGACAAAAGTATATGCAGCTTGTGCCTTACTAGTTACTTTGGAATGCAGCAGAATGCGTTTTTTGCTAAAAACAAACAGAAAGTTGTGGCTTGTGTTTGTCAGAAAGATCTACTTAGGGTTAAATAAATTCATAGATGTTAGGATCAGAAGGGACCTTAATAAGTCATCAAATCCGACCCCCTGCATAGGCAGGAAAGTGTGCTGGGTTCAGATGACCCCAGCCAGATGCCTATCTAACCTCCTCTTGAAGACCCCCAGGGTAGGGGAGAGCACCACCTCCCTTGGGAGCCCATTCCAGATTTTGGCCGCTAACTGTGAAGTTCTTCCTAATGTCCAGCCTAATCTGCTCTCTGCTAGCTTATGGCAATTATTTCTTGTAATCCCCAGGGGTGCCTTGGTGAGTAGAGCCTCACCAATACCCTTCTGCACCCCCATGATGAATTTATTAGCAGCCACAAGGTTGCCTCTCAACCTTCTCTTGCGGAGGCTGAAGAGGTCCAGGTGCCCTAGTCTCTCCTCATAGGGCTTGGCCTGCAAGCCCTTAACCATACCAGTGGCCCTTCTCTGGACCCTCTCCAGGTTATCCATATCCTTCTTAAAAGTGTGGCGCCCAGAACTGGACACAGCATTCCAACTGCGGTCTGACCAGTGCCCGACAGAGGGGAAGTATCACTTCCTTGGTTCTGTTTGTCATGCATCTGCTGATGCATGATAAAGTGCAGTTAGCTTTGTTGATGACTTTGTCACACTGACGACTCACGTTCATCTTGGAGTCCACTAGGACTCCGAGATCCCTTTCCGCTTCCCTGCTACCGAGCAGGTCATTTCCTAGGCAGTAGGTGTGCTGGACATTTTTCCTCCCTAGGTGCAGCACTTTACATTTCTCCTTGTTAAACTGCATTCTATTGTTTTCTGCCCATTTGTCCAACCGGTGCAGGTCTGCCTGTAGTTGTTCCCTGCCCTTCGGTGCGTCCACTTCTCCCCACAGTTTTGTATCATCCGCAAACTTGGACAGAATACAATTCACTCCCTCGTCCAAATCATTGATGAAGACATTGAAGAGTATCGGTCCTAGGACCGAGCCCTGTGGGACCCCACTGCCCACGTCCTTCCAGGTCAATACCGACCCATCTACCACCATTCTCTGGGTACGACCCTCAAGCCAATTTGCCACCCACCGGACTGTAATCATCCAAGTCATAGCCTCTTAATTTTTTCACCAGTATGGGGTGGGATACCATATCAAAGGCCTTCCTGAAGTCTAAGTAAACGATATCTACCTCTACTCCTGCGTCCAGGTGTTTTGTAACCTGGTCGTAAAAAGAGACTAGATTAGTCAGGCATGATCTACCTGCTATGAACCCATGCTGGTTTCCCCTCAGCATAGTTTTTCCTGCTGGGCTCTCCAATATATGAGCCTTAATAATCTTTTCAAAGACTTTACCAAGGATGGAGGTGAGACTGACTGGCTTGTAGCTGCTTGGATCCTCCTTCCTCCCCTTCTTGAAAATATGAAGCTTTGCTTATAATCTGTTACTTTAACATGTTTTTATTTTCCAAAATATTTCCTTAGGCCAAAACATTCTTTTCTTGGTCTGGGGAAATGTAAGGAGAGTCCCTTCAGGTATGTCTCACTTACCAAAAAACTGAAAATAAGGTCATATACCGATTTCCAGGCATGGTAAAAAGGTTTAAAAAAATCTTGAGTAACCCAAACATTACTGTGACCAAATGCTGGAATCTGAGATTTTAAAATGTATCCCTGTTTTTTTTTTTGCAATCAATACATTTTTCCTACACCCTGCCATTCTCATGCAGTTCCACCATCTTACCTGATAGATGTGAGTCTCACTGGTCGCATCTACTGTCTCATGAAGTTTGGGCATATAAACTTTAATGTCTTTCCCACCAAAAGCTCTGCAGCACTCTGCAAGGTCTTGACTGGCCTCAGGTGGTCCATGGACAATGACCAACTGTCGTGGTTTCATTTGGTTAATGATTTTTTTAATGGAGTCTCCATCTGAGCGTCCTTCATAATCTATGTATGTAACTCTGGCTCTAGTTTGATTTAAAAAAGGAGGGGGGAAGGAAAGAAATAATTCGTAGTGCTATCTAAAGCAAAATATTTAATGTGAATGACATTTTAGAGCACTGGGGGCCAACGTATTTGGCAGACATACCACAAATTATGCTGTGCCCTCCCCCAAGTGCCACTCCAAACTGCTTCCCCTACCTGATCTGCTGCTCTGTTTTCTGCTTCCTGCCTAATCTGCTGCATGCCAAACCAAGGCTGCCCATGTTACTTGTGGTATGTGTGCTGCAGTTTAGCCATTTTAGATGATTCCACATTAAAAGTGAACAAGCGAAGTACAAAGTGTACTCCACAGCAACTTGGTCCCTCAAGAGCACCAATGGAGTGTAAAAGCTACAGCATACTGATCCACATACATGTGCATGCACACTAAAGACAAGTAACAGGAAACTAATTATGTTAAGTGTTTCAGGTAACTGTTCATACAAGTGCTATGCTGACAAATTAATATTGTAGTTTAGTATCTGTAGGGCACAATGTTCACAGCTTTATAAAAACTTTTCAAACAAGAGGCCCCAAATGTTCACTAGAATATGGACCTACCTTGACCAAATAACTGCATTACCCAACTGTTGTAACTCTTTGCTCTTCCTCACCCACTACCCCTGCTTCTCATACGGTTACTCCTCTGGGTCACATCGTACATATCAGCAGAACAGGAGTTCATCAGATTAAGAACCATAATTCAGGTTATGCTCCATGCAGTAGAAAATGTTAAGCCTCCTTGATTCTATAACAGCCCACCAGCCAATTTAGGTAGCTCACATCCCAATGCTTTCATACAGCTGAGATATTTCACTGTCTTTCCTCCTAAGTGTGAGTTTCCCCCAAACATAAGTTTCATGCAGTTTAAACATCTAATTCTGTCCTCTGTCCATAATACTTCCATCACAATATAGAATGGCAATATTAGTGGGCACTATACCATGCCAAACATACCCCAACAGCAATGATTTCAAAGCAGGGACAGGGAAGGAAAAGACAGAGAAGACCCAGCTATGGCAGCCCACAGCAATGCCTGTGCCAGTGAAATTCTTCCCCAGTACCTTTATGCCACATAGGAAACAAGCAAAAGGTTGAGCAGAGTCATTAGCCATGACTTTTCAATCAAAGCTTTAAGGCACTTAACACTGTTCTGCAAAATAATGTAGTACTATAGTGGTGAGTCTCTCAATTAGCTGCATTTATTCCAGTTCTCACTCATATATGATGCTCTGTCATCTCTCATGTTAAAAGGACCCTTTTTTTTCCCCCCTTTCTCCTAACCTGAAGGACAATAAAAAGTTTCAGCCTGAAAAATACTTTTGTAAAAAGTAAACCAACTGTTTGCCAGAAAGCTACCTTTTTCTGACAAGAATGCCTTCCAGCTGTGAAATGATCTGAAACTCACTTTATTTCCATTGATTCTGTTGCTGAAATACATTTGGTAGGAACATCTGACAGATCCTGGTCCATTGGCTCATCTCCATTTGTCAGACCAGATTCTAATTTGCTTTTCTCTTCTTCTGTTGCTTGAAGCTCTGGAACGAGGAAATCCTCAGGCCTAAAGAATGAAATCCCAGAATCACTACAGGTTCTCAAAAGGTTTGGGATTTTCTGTGGGCCTTTGAGCAAGTTGGCTTCAATTCTCGCCTTTGTTACCCTTTCTATAAAATGCAGATACTTAATCCTGACACATCTCTGTGAACTATTTGTTGTACAGCACTCTGAACGCTAAATATTATAAGTATTAGATTAGCTAAATACTATAAGTATTATTACTTTTTTTCCCCACATACTTAATAATCTCTCCATATTCATCCCATTTAATTCTCTCTTCTGGGGCTGGAAACATAGGATAGGACTTCTTGGCCTGTTTGAAGAAGCTTCCTTTCCGGCTACCTTCACCCTTCATCATCAAATCATGTTTGGTTTTATGTACAGATGGCTGATCAATATCCTCTTCAACATCACTTTCATCACTGGAATCAATGTCTGCCCTGAAATGTCATCAAGAAAAGGGAAAAAAAAATCAACTTAAGTGTCATTTTATGTATGTACATTAAATGGTAAATGAAAATTTACTTTATGTATCAGGTAATTGCTTGACATGAGCATCAAGTGTTATGGTCAACAAAACGTCAGTGTTCCTTTGTAATCCATGAAGAGTGACATTTAAATTGGTTATCTGGAGAACTAACCAATTTATCACAAAGGTGCTCTAAGTGTAGAATCAAAGAGATTGGCTGAAAGGAATCTAATACAATGGAACTCCAGAAATAAACCGTAGCTGATAAATGAATGGTCACAACTTAACCTAACGAGGTATCACATTGGTCTCAAAGATTGCATTAAAAAGAAACCTGCATTAAATGTGACATACTGTATTTACCCAAATCCAGAATGACTTGAAATTTATTGTGACACCCTATTAATTAGATTCCATACATGGAAATATATAAATGTTTTAATCTTCCATGTGAAGAATCTAATTATTGGAGAGTCATCTTAAATCCATCTGCCCCACCACTGCAGCAGGGAAAGTAGCAGCAGAGGTGGCAACCTGCCCCATCCCCAAAACTTCCCTCCCCACACCTCACACCTGCTCCCCTGCCACTTTCTCCCCAAAATTCTAATGCCTGTCCTTCTCTCACTGTCCCCTCCCTGGCTCCAGCTCTAGCTCTGGCCCTGGCCAGGCAGTAGCAGCAGCAGCAGCAGCACCTGGCCAAGTTAGGGCCACAGCTGCAGCTGCTCCTTTCCCCACATCAGCCTCCCCCATGCTCCTCCCCTCTCCATACCATATGGTTTTCCCCACACATAACCCTCCCATGCTGAACATGCCACTTTGAGCAACCCTGGCAATGGCTTCCAGCCTCAGTACTTGAATCCAAAATGAAGCCCCCTGTCGTCCCCGTCATGTAAATGCGAGGGGGGACGCTTGTCTTCAATATGAGTAAATACAATACACTTACTCTTTGGACTGTTCTAATTTTTTAGCTGCTTCTTTCTTTAGCTTCTCCTTTTCTAAATACTCCTCAAGTTCCTTCCCTTCAAGTTTAACACGTTTCCTCAGCTAAAAAGGAGGAAAAAAATATTAAAAACTGCCAATAAGCCTAATCTTTTCTAATGCAATGATTAAATGTTTTACCCATTTAGACTCAATATTATGGTACAAAAATGATTAAGGCTGGATTTTCCCACCCATTCTCAAGCTGAGTGGAAGCACCTTATGCCTGAAACAAAACTAAAATCCCCACCAACTTAAGGAGTAGTGAATAATGTAAATTATACATAAATATTGTATTTAGCAATAAAATAATCATCCTGGAAATATTAAAACTAGTTGATTGGTTTTATATGATTCCTGCACTAGAAGTAATTTCTTTCAGTAACTTAGGTGTGCTGGGAATTACTCCCCCTCCACTGTTTTCAGTAACCAAAACGACAAAATTCACTTCCTCTCGTCCCCCAATATTTAGTGTTGGTAGTCTGTTCTCCCTCCTTGTGCCACTTACAAAGGACAGCTGAAGGCCAATGGTGAATATTATATTGCAGAAACGAGTGGCATATTTTGCCCTTGCTTTGCAAAAAAGACAGAGCAGAGCAGAGCTTGCTGCAAATACCTTAATTCCAATAACAACATGTGAAGCATCATCCTATGCTTTCAGTCTATTGCAACAGAAGAAAAACTAACATCAGTATGGGAATTGCTAATGAAAATCTTCAAAGTTACAGATGGTATATACACTCCCATCAACCCATAACATTTGGCAGGAAGAATCAGGCAAGTGTGGTATATTAAACTACATTTAATAGTGTCTCTCTTAATATTAACTTGATTTCAAGTTGATTTTTTTTTGCCTACAAATTAAAGAGCAAAACAGTCTTTCTAACATTTTATAACCTCACCTGACTTGATTTCCCATCTCATATAAGTTTTTCACCTGAATAAGCTATTGTTATTTAAATGGTCATGGGAAACAAGACTTCCTATTTTCTGTAGGGGGATTGCATACATTCGGCAACTCGGGGTGCTGGGAGGTAGCAGAAAGAGTTAAGCACTTTCCACGCTCACTCAATAAATTGCTTAAACTTGCCTTTCAATTAATGTATTTTAAAGCCTCAAGTTCTACTTTTCTTGTTCATTCAGGTAAAAAAAATCTTGACATGTCAAGCTACTGTCCATATTACAACTGACTTCAGTTTTCCTTCTACAAATCAGAAAAAAAGTTTTCTAGGGCATGTTAAAAATAAAACAAGATAGACCTTTCACACACTACCCCACTCAGTAATCTGGGTCACAAGCACATTTTCTTACCTCAATATCTATAACTTTTTCAGAAGGATTATCTATCAAGAATCTTGCTAGTGTCCCTGGAGTTGTTCTGTAAGTTAAAATGATAGAGTTTTTGGAATCCTGACACCATTGGATAAAGAGATCTCTTGAAAACCCACATTCCAAATCAGGTTGGCTAGCAAGCACGACTTTTGGACTTGGCACTCGAGCCAGATCAGAAAGACTATGACATAAAGAGAGATGACGGAACTGGAATGGATTATTTCTCTTGTCTTCAAAACATCTCATCAATTTGTCACTCATCCATTCAACCTAGGGATATGTTGAAAGGGAGAAAATAAAAGAAAAAAGAGTTATATTTACTGGATTTACACATGGTTTGATGACTAAAATGCATGTAAAAACTCTATCTGTACTTGGTAACATTAGAAGAACATTTATAGGTAGGTGTACCCTGCATCTGTGTACACAGGTGTGCACATGATCCCTCTATCAATATCTCTTTATGCAATCTTGAAACGAAGCAGCTGGGCCAGCATACAAATTAAATGTTTCAAAAATTCCATTTTAAGCACCTGCAGCTTAGGTTAACATGCTAAGTAAATGGAAACTCTTATCTTAACAAGAATCATGCTAGTAGTCGCACACCAATTCTAGGTGACTTGTGGGGTAGAAATTTAGGCCACGAAACCTGATTTTATAGTAGAAATGAGGCAGACTAATGACCAGACCATGACAGTTTTCAAGTTCTCTTCTGGTTAAAAACAACACAGAAAACATAGGGAAAAAAAGACAACACTACATGGTCCTAGATGAACCTCCTGTAATCAAGTAACAAGATGAAAAATGCCATAATTACCCCTTTCAAAATTACAGTTTAAGAACAAAACAAACCTGTGATTTAGAAAATTCCACTACGTTATAGCTGACATTATTCAAAAGTGCTAGAGAGTAAACTCCTAATCCTGCATCTTTTGTTCTCCAAATCTGATCAAGAAGTTGGGCAAGTTCCAGAACTCTGCCAGCTGTATCCACAGCTATTAGCACGTTTCCATCACCCCGCAACGTTTCCAAGACATTAGCTAGGAGGGAGGAATAATACAAAACAAATTAAAAGTCAAAGTATTTGCACTTAGAACCATAATCAAGACAATAGGTTTGTGGGGTTTTTTGGTTTTAACTTATTATACCAAATCAAAGGAAGATTAACTCAGAGATTGACTGAAGACTTGCAGTGCTGAAAAACTAAAATATTAAAAGAGGTGCGGAAACAAAATTTCTATTGAAGTCAATGAGAATAGTTGTCCTCTGGGCAAATTTGAACATTTTTACGATGTAAATTATATGTAATTCTCCCTTAAATCAAATAGGATTTTTTTATGTGAAGTTCTCTCAAGAACAGAAAATCCCAGGTTAATTAGACAAATAGTCTCTGGGTGAAGTCATAAACTCAATCACTTTTTTCTGGGCAGTGGCAGGGGGGAGGGGTGATAATCCATAACATCAACACTGTCAGAAAAGAAAAACTAAAAAAGTCAAACTCTAAAGAAAACTATAGAATCTTTACTTAAGTGAAGTTTTCTTGTCTGTTACAGGAAGAAAGCAGAGAATTATAACAATTAAAGAGGGATTTTGCATTCCTACAGCTTTAACTAATTAGACAAATACTTACTTAGCAATTGTTCATCTCTTTGCTTCCGTCTGGGTTGTACATACGTAGCATTAAAGGAGTCCGTGATAAGCAGTGAAGGCCTACTCAACATTTCCAGGGAGCAACCATTCAGATGTCTGAGAAAAGAGAGTCAGGCCATGCAACTTCAGCTTTCACATTTCTTTTGACAAAGAAAAGGCAAGAACTATAAAACCTAGCTGTCAACATAAAGAAACAGTATTCCTTTTTAGTTAGCAAACTAGTTTCATCTTTTTTTTAGGAAACAATATTCCTCAAAGCAGGGCTGGCCAACCTACTGCATGGGTGCCACAAGTGTCACAAGCAGCTTGCGTGGCATGCAGTTGATTGGGCAGGGAGCATAAAGCAAAGCAGCAGATTGGGTAGGGAACAGAAAGCAGAGTGGTACCCTGGGAAGTAGTATGCCTGTTCTGCAGTATGCCCACCCAAAAGGTTGACCCAAGTGCCCCAGGAAAAGGCTTTTCAGTTCAAGAAAAGAGGGCTATTTCCTAAGCAAATAATGTATCAGAACACAAAGAGACTATGTTCTTACTTCACAGCTATGCATGTACTTTGGATTTAGGAAAAGCATTTTTTGTTTAGTCTTAAATCCTCCTCACTACATCCTAAACTTTGTTTTGTATTTGTAGTAAGCAAAGTCTGATACATACATTAATAAATTTCTCACTTTCAGTTTTTTGTGTGTCCAACTGCTTTTTACATTCCTTCTTTCTCCATTTTAAAAAAAAGCAATTTAGCTTTCTTTAACCTTTAAAAGGTGCTTAACACCCCCTAAGTAAAATAAAACACAGTCATTGTTTCCTTTGCAATAATTCAAGCATCTCACTGTCAGGTATTTTACCTTTTCTTTTTTTTTTTTTACCTTTTTTTTTTAAACATTAGGTTTATCCCATCTGACATTTTTTTTCCAATTATTTTACAAAATCAGCTGAAATTCACCTTAAAGCAAAAAATGCCCTGTAACAATATTCTGAACAAAGGAAAAAATGGACATTGCATCACATATAAAGTACCAGCTCTTCCAGAAGTACAGGAAACTGCAGCATTTAAAGTGTATTTTGAACCTAATAATAAAACTATGACCTGTTTTTACATCTGCTCCCACCTCACAACATCTACAATCTTGATTACAACTTGAATTCCAAAATGCTCTCTCTCTCTCTTTTAGAAAGGAAAGTTCTCTCTTCCTGGTTTGTTTACTTTGCCTCCACATTATTTAATCTTGCCTAGGAGCACCAAGCAGAAGCACACCTTGCCCACTCCCCCTCTATTCAGAATGCAGCACGTAAGGCAGTACAGCCAACTTAGAGAACCTGCAGGCAGAGCTGTAGCATGCACTCAAGTGTTGTTCCATCTCAGACATGCTCTTTGGCACATGCCTGGGGCCACTTTAAGGCACCTACACTTCTTTGTTTTCAAAGCTTCTTGAGCACTGAGTAGACACAACCTGGCAAAGCATGATTGTAAGCTGTTGTCCTGAAAGCACCACAGAAAGAATAGACATGGCCATTATATCTCACTCTCCTTCTCAAGAGATTACTAGGGAAGAAAAGAAGCAAGATGACAGAATATTTCTCCTCTTAGAACTAATATTGCTGCTGGCTACAGCACTGGATTTTTGAAGCTTTCAGTCTCAACGTGCACTCCAAGGCAAGACTGCATCCAGAAATATTTACTAGATGTTGCAAGGATATATACCAATACTAATAGGCATTTTTAAAATGTGCTGTACATACATCTCCCTCTTGTGGTTGAAGTCAACAGCATAAACAATTTCCTCTTCTCCATCTTTGACAATCTTCCAAATGGTTCCTCCTATCATGTGGCCAGCTGGCAATGGTGTGATGGACAGACCATGGCCTTTGCCTACAGAAAAAGTAATTTAGTTTTCTCTCAATATTTCAGATACATCAGGTCTATTACAGTCAATCGTCCCAACCACAAGGCAGTTTGAAACAAGTCACAAAGACCAAGCTGCTAATCATAAAACCATATCAAGGAGATCAAAAGTTAGCAATCCCCACTATGTCACTAACAAACGCAGTATGTTCTACTGTTCCCTGACACTGGCAATTCTCTTCACCACTTCTCACTCCCTCCCAGAAAGAACAGAGAAAGCAATGCTGATCTCAGATTAAAGTTGTTACTGAAGAGTTACTACAATGCCCCTAAAAAACAGAAGACAGGGAAACATGGCACATTAACATCAGCAGCACTTTTTCTCAATAACATACATGAAAGTACACTGGAGTGATTTCTGAGCTGACACACTGAGCAGCAGTGCTAAGTTAAATATTCTTAACTGGTCAGTGAGATGTCTGGGAAGATTCACAAGAGCACACAGTTTCATAGACTGGAAGAAACCTGAATATCAGGACAAACACTACCTTCATGTGAAGAATACCAGCAAGTGAATTTGTCATGTGCTACACACTAATATTGCACTGATTTGCATGGAAATACGTAATTTATATAAAATATAGCGAGTACTGTTAAGGTTTACACTGCAGTACTGTGTACAGTTTTGGGCACTATGCTTCAGCTATAGACCAGCTTAACAAGAGTGCAGGGGAGAGCAATAAAAATTATCAGAGGAGTAGAAAATCTGACCTATGGGGAAAGGCTGAAAAGCCTGGATTTGTTTAGTCTAAGAAAGAAAAGACTGAGAAGAAAAATACTAACAGTCCTCAAACATGAAAAAGATTTACTGTAAACAGGAAGGTTAAACTGTTCTCCAAGGCCACTGCAGACAAGATATGAAGTGATGGGCTTAAATTATGAGGCATATTTAGATATTAATAAGAACTTCTAGTGATTGACTAGCTTTGCAGTTGCAAATAGATTATCTAGGAAGGTTGTGGAATCCCTGACACGGAAGGCTTCTAAGAACAGGTTAAACAAACATCTGTCAGCAAAGGTTCAGGTACAGCTTTCTACTGCTTGGTTAGGGGGAAGGATTAGCCGAACTCTTACTGTCCCTTCCACCAGCCCTATTTTTACAAATTATTACAAGGATCAGGGAACTCAGTTATAAACAGTTGTTCACTAAACCAGTTAGTAAACAAAGACTGAAGCACAGGCAGGATCTAATCTGGCCCCATAAAAGAGTTAATGCCTTAAACCAGGAATGGCCAAACTGCAGCATACATGCCACAAGTAAGCAACCTGCACGTGGCATGCAGCAGACTGGGGAGGGAGCAGGGAATGCTGTGGCAGATAGGGCAGGGAGCAAAAAGCCAAGCAGATCAGACAGGGAAAGGGGATTGGATTTGCACTTGGGGCGGGTGCAAGGTTTAATTTATGTATGACATGCCTGCCAGAAACTTTGGTCCCCACTACCTTAAACCATGCAGACTCTATAATTTGATCAGAGGCCACTAGATCCACATGCATCTCCAGTACAACCTCTTTACCTGTTTTTGCTTCTCCTTGTCATTTGATGAAAATATATAAGCAGTTGCTAACAATGTTGCTTTCCATTACCAGCTAATAATTGCACTGAGTGTTTTGCATGTTTCCACCTAACCCTAACCCCAAGATGTAACCTTGGGGCAGATTAGCAAGATTTCTTCAAAATTAACAAAACCAAGATAACTCACATTGTCTGAGTATCTACCCATTTGAGGTACTAGAGGTTCACTTTCCAAGAGCAAAGAACTAACTCAAGGGTGGGCAAAATACGGCCCACGTGCTGGATCTGGCCCCACCAACTAACTGGATCTAGCCCACGCACACAGGGCTCCAGCTCCAGACTGCCTGCAGGTGACTGCTCATTGCACTGGGTGGAGGGTAGCTGGGAGCTGGAGCCCCACGCACTGGGCCAGTAGCCACCCAGCTACAGCTCCCCTGCTGAATACATAAGAAGGCTATTAAAAATACAAGTCAATTAATGCAAGTTTTGTTAGATGAATAATAGTTTCACCTTTCAAGTTCACTATCTGAGAGAACTTTAGTTGTTGAATTTTATCAAAGGCTGCATCTACATCATCCAGTGTAAAGAGGGTGAAATCTTCTGTATTGTGGCGAGACTAGCATAAAAGGAAAAGAAAAATGTGTTCAAAAAACCTTTTGCATCACCAATTTTTAGGCTAAACGTTTAAACAATAAGTATATTTATACCAGTAATGCATTACCAGTTAACGTTTAGTGCAGAGCAGTCCCAGGAGGAAGGGAAGTGTGGTGGCATGGCACCTCAGGAACAGGAAGGTGGCTGGGCAGGCAGGAGGGAACAAAATAGTACCCACAGTCTATGAGGCTAAAGAAGAAAATAGTGGTGGCCTAATGACTGTCAACTAGCTGCTCATGCACAGGTGCTCCTTTCTCCCAGCAGGCCAGCTACTGCAGTAGACTGGGACAGCCCCTCCTCTGCTGCAGAAGCCCAGGGCTTAAGGTGGCCTGTGTTGTCTGGGAGGACTTGCCACCACTTCCTCCCTCCTTGTAAAAGGCCCCAGGGTGCAGCTCCCAGCAGCAGCCGTGTCATGGATTCATTGTTTAGCCGATATAATTGGATGAGATTAAACAGATAATGTAAAAATGACATTTACATTGCTTATAGGAAGTGCCTTCAAAGTTTTTTTTGTTTGTTTTAAAATGACCATATCTAATCAGACATACCTGATAGAGATCATACATAAACATCTGGCCCATTTTATATACAGGAATAGTTGCATAGATAGCACAATTTAAACCCATCTTCCCAACTGCATATGGAAGAGCACCAAGATGCAGAGGATCGGGGTGAGAAAGTAGCACTGCATCAACTTGGTGTACATGTCTAAGAGAAAAGAACAAATGAAAAGAGTTATTGAATAGAAAGTTTTCTGTACATAGTATTCAATACTGTGTATGACAGCTCCATTTTTATAACAAAAAATTAAGTGCACAATGTAAATACAAACAAAAAAGTTTCCCTTCGTTAAAATGAAAATTTACATTTTAATTTCTAAATTATAAAAAGCAACATTTTCAAAAGATTCAAAGTTCTTCATTTGACAGATTCCAAGCTCTCAGAAATAAGTAGCCAGGTAAGGATTAATAAAAGTATATTTCCAAATTGAAACACGTTGAATTCAGACTCTTATGAGAAATCTAATAACCTTTGAATTTCACAAACCTAGTTTAAAATTTTAACAATTTAACTATTTGTGAAAGATTGGTTGGCCCCAAAATAGCCAAAACAGCCTGTATTTTTAAAAATGTGTGCAACTGACATGTTAATATAATATTTACTTTTCCTTCTCAGTGGATATACTTGCTTACAGTTTTTAATTTTAATACAAATAATCATGGAAGAAAACTATTTATAGAAGGTCTTACGTGATGCAATTTCCTGCAACACAAGGGAATTAGACTCAGTGAAAAAAATCCCTTCATGTGCTATGTTCCTACAAGAAAGCTAAATATACTGACTAATTAAACTGAGCTTTTCATACTAGATAATGGCATTAAAAATATTTCATTTCTAATAGTGAAAAGTGAGCTGAAGGGAACAGACCCAATGACAAGTACTGCCATTTAAACCAACGCTGTGGAATCAAGTCCTATAATTAAAAAAAAACAGGAGGAACAAATCACATTAAATTATTTATAAACAGTAGGTAAGTTAATGTACTACATACTGGAAAAGTTTGGTTCTTTGAGCTATTTACTGTAAAATGCCCGAATGTTGTGAATAAAAAATAAATAAATAGCTGAAATAGTAACAGCAAAGCACTGCAGCTAACACATCAGTGCGTAAGTCACTTAACTACATATCAAAAAGCAGTCGCAATTTGTTGCCTTGCTCACTGAGTAGCAAACATAGGTCATCATCAGCCTATTGGTCAAGTGCATTAACCACTTTGTACATAAGTTCATTCAACCTCACTGTTTATATTGTACTTACTTAGCATTAATATGCAATGAATTTGAGTGTAACAGTCTACTTTGTAAGCAAACATACTCCTAAAAACAGTGAAAAGGGTAACCAGCTGTCAAAGGGCTACTATCAGAGGCCTTCAGAACAGTGCAAGCTAGTTATTTTCAGGCTGTTAATGCCACTTCATTATCTGTGCTACATCCTAACGAACACCACTTACATCCAGTACAGATAATATGCAGACTCTAGGTAACAGGGGTGTAGGTTGTAGCCACGTTGGTCTAAGAACATAGGCAGACAAGGTTCTTTGGGTGAATCTGATATCTTTTATTAGACCAACTTAAATAGTTGGGGGGAAAAAATTTACGCAACTTCTTCGGTTTAAAAACCCTTCATCAGACTGAGGAAGTTTCTGCAGTTGGTGTGTGCTCTTCCTGGATGAGACTCTAGGTCAGACACAGCTCTTTAGGTAAATACAATATATTTTATTAGACCAACTAAATAGTTGGAGAGTGTAGGTAAGCACCTTTTTCAGTTACAAGGCTACATACTTAAAGGGGCACCTTGTTCCCCATGACTCTCAGAAAGAGTTTTCCTCCTCAAGATGGTCTACAGGACATCAAAAGGGATGTTTCTAATTTTACAACCCCATGTAATTGCATCAGTCTAAAGTGTGGAGCCAATGCAGAAAACAAATCCACAACAACAATCCTCCCATGAGGCTTTTCCATGTTTCAACTCAACCTCAGGGTCCTCACGGGTGAGGGTGGGAGGAGGGTGTCTCAACGTGGGATGCAGCCGCCAGACGACAAGCACTTACTTCCTCAGGGAGTCGATGATGTCCATTGAGAAGTTCTCGTCCCAGCCACAGTCCAGGAGGAAGCGGAACTCGTCCACCTGCAGCAGGTAGCAGAGCGCGGACTCCTCCTGCACCCCGGACAGGGTGGTCAGCTTGATGATGGACGTCATGGCAGCGGTGCCGCTCACCCGACCGCTGCGAGGGAAGCGCAGAGTTGTTAGCGCAGCGAAACGCGACCCGCGGCCTTCCCCGGGCCGCCTCAACCCCGCGACCACGACGGACGCTTCATTACAGGCCATGGACCCGATCCGGCCCGGCCCGGCAGCGCAGGCCGCGTGAAGCGGAATAGAGATCGTCCCCCCCTCCTCCCCGGGCCGCGCCGACCGGGACTCACGGGAGCGGGAGACCTGGCGGGAACACGCTCGGCCTGCACCTACCCGGCGGCCACCCCGCGAGGCCCCCGGGCCGTGGGGGAGGGGAAGAGGGACACCAGCAGCCACCTCAGCCGCGCTGACCCGGAAAGGGATGAGGGGAGGGAACAAGAGCAACGGAATGTACCATCCTGCCCGCCCCGCCGCGGCTGCAGGAGAAGCTCGAGCCGAGCTGCCGACAGCGCCGCGGCCGCGGAGGACAGGCCAATCAGTGGCCAGTCTCCTCGCCCCCCCCCTGCAGTGGTGTCTCCCGGTTTCGGGCGCATGCGCAGCGGCGGCGGCGACGGAGACGGTTGCGGCCGCCTGAAGGACAGAGGCACGGCAGGCCTAGCCAGAGCTATAGCCGTAGCTGGGTGGCTGACCCGGGCTGGGCTGAGCGACCCCCGCGGCCATGGCGCTGGAGGTACTCAAGCTGGTGCGCAACTACTGGGCGGCGACACTGGTGCCGATGGGCTTCGTGATTGGCTGGTGGCTGGACCGGCGCAACGACAGATCCCTCACCACCTGCCGCAACCGCAGCGCGCTGTACAAGAGGTCCGTGCCCCTCCTCGTGCGCCCGGGTCCTCGGGGCGCCGGGACCTGGGGCCTGACTTCCCTTCCCATGTCAGGGCTGGCGGCGCTGCTGGGTATCCCCTGTTGTGTCCTTACTGGGGCGGGCTTGGGGATGGGATGGAAAGTAGCGAGCGTGAGGCCCAGGTGTGGGGAGGCAGCAGCGCCGTGGGGGTACGGAGGGGAGGTTGGCAGGCCTATGCCACCACATCGGGAGCCACTGGGTGGACATTGCTTTCTTGTCTGCTCCTCGCCTGCAGCAAATGTGAGCTGAGTTAGGGCAGCTGGCTCTGCAGTGAAGCAGCTGCTGAACTCAGAGTCCCAGCTTCCCTTTGCAGTGAGCTGGGTGGTGAACAAAATGGTTATAACCGGGTGCCTCAAAATGCAGGAAGTCCTGTCCACCCACTTCTAAGTGATTTTGTTTTGCCCACTCACACCCTTGATTTAATTAATTGGTACTAATCTTGGTTTATTCTTGTGTTTTTCGGTTATGTTGCTCAATACCAGTTGGTAGACATGCAGACACGGGCACACCTGATAGCATTTGTGCCCCAGGGTGCTGAAATGCAGGATGCCCTTCAGCTTCGATTGCTGGGAGTGGAGCAGTGGCAGGGGACAGGAAGCTGCTGCCAGAAAAAAAAATATCTCTGCCAAAAGGCAGCTTTAGCCCTTCCCAAGGCCCACAACTATTTCTTATGGGGGGAAGGGGGGACATCACTAGGGGAGGATTAACCTGGCTCTTGGCAGTAGCATCTCTTCTCAGAGCAGCATCCTGTCCCTGCTCCACTCCAACGTCTAAGCCAGGAGTTCCCAACCTCCAGGCCACAGCCTGGTGCTAAGCCATGAAGGGTTGACTGCCGGTCCACAGACCAGCAGACCATGGATTGGAAGTGACTGGCATACTCTGGACCGACAGCCAACCCTTCTTTATACTGAGTATATAAAAGGTTTGGCTGACTGCCCGCAGTCTGCTGGTCACTGTTAGTCTGGAATTTGCCAGTCTGTGGCATAAAAAGGTTGGGAACCCCTGGTCTAAGCCCCCTTGCCTTCAATTTACCTTTACTGGGGCTGGCATGCCACATACAGCAAAGACCTGTGCTCCTTGTGGCAGATGTAGGTTGGGCATCCTTACCCTAAGGGCATGTCTGCAATAGATTTTCTTTTTACCTCCTGTTGCTGCATGACTGCTGGTACAGTTTTGCTAGTTTTGGACAAAGTAGGAGCATTGGTATATACAGGTGTCAGGTGGCATTTTTTTAATATGTCATTTAGATCTGTTTTGAGAAGAACTAGGAAATCTGGTAATAAGAAAACTAGCACTCTTACTAACATCACCAGTGGGGGAGTTGCACTAGTAGTCTAATATTGGTGTGAAATTTCTCCCTGGTCTTAAATCCTACTAAACCTGCATCCACTTAAGCAATGAGTGTTGATACTGATGTCAAAGGAAGCAGGATTTTGCTGTATGGACCTTGTTCTTTAAAATATTTCTCACCTCATGAAGGTGACTGGGGTCTTCAGTTTGTTTAAATTAATAGGGATTAGGACTCAGTACTGCTGAAATCTCACAGTTCTTCCTCTCAACCATCCCAGTGATAGCATGGAGAACTACACATGCATAAGGGCTGGCCTCTTAATTTGTTTTCAGATTGGAAGGAGCCAGAAATGCTGAAAATTAATGTTGTTCAGTTTCTTTCATAGTGGTACAACAATCCTCCTGTGCATTTTGGGACTCGGTCCTAAAATATTTGCTTCAAGCCTTCATTATCCACAGAGATGGTAACTGGGGGGCGTTGGTCCTTCAGTCAGTACGTATGAGTGAACCCTGGCATGAACCCAACGGTAGGAATCAGAACTAGAAATGGGCCATGAAGCTGAAATGAAGGCATGAAGCCCCATTTCCAGCAACAGCTTTGCTCCCTAGTGCTGGGTTTTCCCCTAAAGAACTTGTTACACACGTTTCTAAAATGGAAGAGACATGACACTAGATAAAAAATAGAAGAATCCTAGCCTGTAAGAGGAACTCTGAAATAATATGCACACTTGGGAACAGAAGGGGAAGACTGCTCATCAAAAATGACATGATTTTTTTGTTGAGAAGAATTAGGAGGAATGTCAAAGATATTGGGAATGATTCAAATTAATCAAGTTGAAAATTAATCTTGAAATCAAGTTTTGTTATAAAATACCCAATACTCAGACATAATTAATTTAATGTGCGTTCTTTGATGCATATTACATTTTGCAGAATGCCTGCCTAATACTACTCTTCTTCCCCCTCCCCTCCCTCTTTTTCCAACACAGGGAGCTGAAACCAGGTGAAGAATTTACTTGGAAATGAAAGACTTCAATGAAGCGGGAAGTGCTTTGATGCAGTTAAATCTGTGTATAACAAGTAGATGAAGTAGTTATTGTGTCTTCCCTGGAACAGAAACCATGTCTTTATTCTTCTCGTACTCTGTTTCTAAGGTAACTAAAAGGACTGTATCATGACTTACATCTGCCAACATAATTTTCTGTTTGGTTTTCTTCTTGAGCAACAGTTTTATCATATAATGAGGATTATATCCTATTCAGAAATACTTTTTTCCCCATGATGAATATTGGTTGGGGGAGAATTCGACAGACACCTGTGCAAAGAGCGCTTCAACCTATGGTCATTGATCATTTTGTGAAGTTTCCTATGTATAAAGAATCAACCTTAAAAAGAAACTTGTTAGGCTTACTTATTCTGTGAATTGGTAACACTTCTTCCAAAAAAATCCAGTTGGGGTTATTTCTCTTTCAGGTTTAAACTTTTTCCTTTAGTATTTGCAACTTCAGCTTTGTAGTTAGTGCATGGGAACCAGAAAGTAAAACTAATTGGGGACTTATTAAAAACAACGATGAAACTGTGAATGGGAAAACTGTTTTTTTTTTTTTTTAAATACTCTGTTAACAACTAAGTGGTAATACGTATGTGGGTAAGTCATTATATGACAGGCAGTCCTCAACTTGAAACGTTTCGAGTTGCAATGTTTTGCACTTACATTTATAAATTGACACTGTTTCAACTTTCTGACATCAGTTTTGACTTTACAAAGCTTGATCTGACGCCAGGCCACACCAGTGAACAAGTTCGCTGTGTCGCCCATCTCCCTGGAGATCATCTGTCCAAACTTCCTTGGACACTTTCTTTAAGAAAGCAGGCAAGACTCCAGAAGAACCTGCAGCCAAGACTCCAGCCAAGAACCCTTCAAAAAGTCCACCCAAGAGCCCTTCAAAACATCCAGCAAAATCTCCTCAAAGTCCTTCCAAATCAATATGATTACTATTTACAATATAAATACATTAATGTAGCTATATTACTCATCTATAATTGATTGAGTACAAAGTTCTGGGTTATTTTTGGTGAAAATAGGGTATCAGGCCTTATTTCAGGAACAAATCCCCCATTTATAACATTGTTTCTTATGGGAAAATCGGTTCTGAGTTGCAACATTTTGACTTAAGATGTGGTTTTCAGGAATCAGTTGTGTTGTAAGTCTGAGGACTGCCTGTATAACAAACCAAGCCAGGCCTCCTGGTCTCCTTTTCTTATCCTTAGGTAGGAGGCTCATGAATTAGATTCTGTGCTACTTGCATAGCGCAGCCACAGTGTGGGCATTGGTATTTTGGGCCATCATGGCATGTCCTAAATTCTTAGCTTGGGTAGGTCTCTGCCCCACTCTCAGTAAAGCCACCCTGGGACTGCTCTAAGAAGCCATGGTATGGCCCATGTTAGTGCTCAGAACAATCCATCCATGCTTCTTTCCACTTCTAATCACTTGCATGAGGTGTAGGGGCATAAAAACATCAAGCTAGATCATAAGCCTTTGGAGGTAGGGGGAGAAGGTCTCAATCAGTCCTAGCATAGTAAGATTTGGTCTGTGGTTAGGGCTTATAGGAGCTATTAACAACACAAATAATAATGTGTTTGGGAACCTTTTGGTTGGAAGGATTGTCCCAGCCACCTGCGGAGGGTTCAGGACTGAGAGTATGGTCAGGGGTGGAAAGGTAAGAAAGGATTACTGGCTTAACAAAAACACAACTATGCGTAGTAACAAGACAAACAATGACCGACAAAAACAATTTGCGTCGACAACTTATTGGCAGTCCCCCCGATGCCTGATGTACAACAAGTTTCTCTTTCCACAAAGTTCTGCGAAGTTGGGCATCCCTGATCAGCGCTGTCTGAGAGGTACTGGGAAGGACCCTGGTATTCAGTCTTTGGTCTCCTCGAAATACATGGGCCCACTGATCCAGGTCAACAGCTAACTAATCCTTTTTACAGAGCTGTATCTTCCTTAGAATGATTTCCGGATATTTCAGCCAATTTGTAGCTTCCGAATGGTACTGATAATGTACAGCCACTCAGATTCTTTTTACTTCAACTGTCCTTAGACTAACCAATAGCAGTACAAGCCTTGCATTCCTTTGATAAGGTTAATTTTAACTATGCCACAAGGTCTTACTACTTCAAGGCTTTGCTAAATTTACTAGGCCTTTATACAAGGCCTTACTACACCTTAAACTTTAATTAGGCTCTTAGCAACAACATACAGCTTAATATCTAAACAAATACAGAAAAACACTTGGTCTAATCTTCATAGAGCCTTCAGGAAGCACCTTTATCACACAGACATAATTTTCAGCTGTCACAAAGGATCCAGATATTTAATTCT